CCCCAAAACCCCAAAACCCCATGACTAAATATACTGAATTAAATCATTAATCGAAAGAACTTAGAGATAATTTATATCACGACTATCATCTGGTAAGCTATTAAGGTTTCTTCTATACTGCTCCTGGCTGAGTTGAGTCTCCTGGGCCTCCAATGTTAATTTTACCATGGCAAAGTGGGCAATGCTTTAGTTTTAGGTAGTTTAGCTCGCTTTCTAAGGCCTTATGTTTGCAGGTCTTGCAAGTGTAATACTCTTTAGCCAAGATACTCTGTCCACTGGCTATGCAAGGAGAGAAATGACTTCCACATTCTTTACAGTTAATGTCACTAAATTAGTTATAATATATTTAATTCTTACTATTCTGTGATTCTGGCTTTGCAGTCACGTTTAGGGCAGTTGAATTCCTTCTTCACTTTATCAAGGGGTGGGTGTCTTGAGAATAGATTGATTGCTAGCAACTCATACTGCTCTCTTTCCTTATCAGTTACATCTGGCAGTCTTTCTAGCTTTACAAATGCCTTAGAGCATTCCTTGTAGCACTCATTAAAGTAGCATGAGATTGCAACTAAACTATAAACATCCTTAGTTTAAAGCTCCTTCTCGTATTCAATCAATCTCATAGCTGTCTTCATGGCTCTTGTGTAGTCCTTCTGGTAAAGTTGTCTTTGACACAATAGATAGAAGTGGATGGCTTCAGCTCCTTTCCAGGGATTAGTCAGTTGCTTATCGGCTGATGTACTAATATCACTGGTAATTAAACTGTTCATAGTCTTGGCAGCAACATCTGCAGCTGTGGCTCCTGTTCCTGTAATTTGTGCTACCTGGGCATCAAACACTCTCTGCTTGTAAGAATCAACTTCGAAAGCAGCAAGTACATAGATTTTCTTGATTAGTAGAGGTGGTGCATTTTTCTATCTTAATTCTTAAGCGATTGTAGCTAAGATTCTTGCTGATTCAGTGTTTTTGTTTGCTTTTCTAAATAGCTCAATAGCTTCCATCTTTTTGTTCTTTTCAATCAGATGATTGGCATACCTTTGAAGAAGTTACTCGATTTGAAGGAAGTTATGTTATTCAGCTAGCTCCACAGCTTGGTTCCATTAATTCAATAGAACACAACAATCGATGGCTTTCTTAACATCTCCAAATCTTACATAGCACTCGACAGCTGATTCACACAATCCGAGTGAAGCAAATTTCTCGGCTAACTTTTCAAGCAATGGAGAATTTTCAGGGAGAATCGTGATCATTTTTTCAAGATTTCCAGTGTCTTCAAGCTTGTAATAAGACTCTACAAGGTTATCATTGTCTTGTGCGAGACCATAATATTTAGCTGCTTTTGTCCATTTTTGCCTTTCAGCTGAATAATCTCCAAGATTTTTGTAAGCCTTTTTAAGAGTCTCATCAGTACCAGCACCTTGCTCAATTAATTGAATTACTCTGGCCCAATCACCGAGTCTCATTCTCAAATCTAATGCTAGATCCTTTCTATCAATATCTCTATAGATCTGCTCAGCTTCATCGTATCTCTTGAAATATGCTGCAATCTCTGCCTTCTGCTTGAATTTCTCGTCGAAGGTTTAAAGTCTATTTACAAATTAGACTCCATAGTAGTCTTCATTCTTAACGAATGCTCTCTCTGCAAATGCAAAATTCAATTTATCTAATGAAGACTCAGCAATAAGTCTCCATAGTCTCTTGTGAGGGTTCTACTCGACAAACTCAAAGGCGTCCTTTAGTGAGACTGTAGTTAGGAAATCTCTGGTGTCTCTAAGACTCTTGGCTTCGTAGTCTACAACCATCTCACTAATATTTTTAATTTCTTCTGGATCCTTTAGAATATCATCTAGAAGGACTGCCTTCACTTCCAAATCAGTGAAATCACAGAGATAACCTGCGCTTAATACTGGTTCCTCTGGTTGGAAATTTCTAAGTACGTATAGTCTGTTCTTTTCCATTAAAGCGCAAAGTGCTGGATTATCAGTTGACCAAATAATTGACCAAACTTCCTTTCTCTCAGTTGATAAATGCTCTCCAGAGACTAACTGCTGTCCTTTTACTTGATTTTAGGTGTCAGTAGCCTGGAAATCATAGAAACTTAAAATACCATTGATATCAATAATTGAGAATTTTGTAGAGTCACAATTCATTGACAATTGCTATGGTCTGCATCTAAGCATAACCTTGCTCTCAAGTTAGATGTAAGGCAATGAGTATTTAAGTACTTAGCCACTCATTCTTCCAATGATAAAGGCGTCAGGTCCTGCAGCGACTGAACAAATTTAATCATTGCAAACAATTTATGGCTTTCTCCACTTATCCTTGTCATATATTTGATTGGGGTTTGGAATCTCTTCAATGTGGAAGACATTTTCTTTTCCAGCCTTCTTTTTCTTCTCTTGTTCCAATGTTGTGAGCTTAGAATTATTTTGTCTGTATTGCCAGTAGTAGACAACATCCTCACAAGCAATTATGATATGAGTTTTGTTCATTGTGACGTATCTTGGTTCAAAAGTAATTGTCTTATTTTCAATTGGGCAACCAACTGCATTGCAAAGTATAATAACCCATTGATTAGGAGTGTCTTCAACCTTAGCAATTAAAATACAATATTCACCACAGGCTGAGATTTTCTGAAGTCTTCTCATATATTTAACATGCTTCTCATTAATTACAGTATCCCAAAAGATGACACACATATCGTTTCTTTCTGGCTTTCTAAATGCAAAGACTAGGGTGTTATTGAAATATGCCCACATATACTCTGGCTAAATATTAGAGAAGAGAATATTGCAATCAACTGCTAATGCAACACGTAATCCAAATCCTTCCCAAGAGATAGAGTTTACGATTCCAGTTGTTCCTGGAACTTTCAATGATCTCAAATGAATACCATAAGCGTTATAGAATTAAACAATACCCTTTCCATCCGAATTATCAACCTAAGAGCCTGCAACTGCGAGTACATTACCATTTGGGTTCCATTTAGCTGATTTAATGTTCATTCCAGTGTCAACTAGAATAGGCCTGTCGTCAGTCTCTTTTCTCATTAATTGCATTCTTCCGCATTTATAGGCGATGCAAAGTTAGGCAGCATTATCGTCTAAGTCTTCATATGAAAATCCTTATTTGTTATTATCATACCATTCAATAGCTGCAAGTGGCATTTCTCTTCCCTCCAGTCCTCTAAGGCAGAAGATTTTGATTGGGAAAAGGAAATTTCCAACATAATCATACACGTTAACTGCACCATCTGGTGTTCCGAACAAAATAGTTCTGCTATCAGGTGACCATTCAATGAGGGAAAGATTAATTTTAAGTTCTTTACCCCATAGCCTGTTTCCTTCGACACTACCTACAATTACAGCTCCATCCTCGTAGACTATACCAATTTTCTCTCCATTGGGTGTCCATTTCATATCAGTAACAACACTCTTATTTCTGTTATTGATCATTTCCTCAAACCAATGTTGCTTATGCATCATCCAAACAATAATTAGACCTTATTCATCACTAGTTGTAAGTTTTTGATAACCATCGTTCCATCTGATTACTTGAATTTGACCTATCATGATGTGTTGTATTTTTATGCTAAATATTACCTGAATGTCCCTGTAAGTTTTGATTCATTGAGAGGTTACCACCTCCTTGACCTTTGCCCGATTCAAGTTTCAAAATTTTAAGAAGACCCTGATCTCCTCCGCAGGCAATGTAACCTTTTTCTTAGTTCCAATCAATAACATAGAGAGGAGTGTTATTGGGCATACTAATCTACATAGTTAATTTTGAGAATTATGATTTCATGGGAGGGTCTTTAGAGATATACCTTTTTAGAGAGATAAGCGAACATTTGAATGATATATTAGCGCTTTCAAATTTAAATTATTAATAATTTATAAATATCTATTAATTTTTTCTCTTGCTCTACTTTCATTTCAATTATTTACTTAACGGGGTTTTGGGGTTTTGGGGTTTTGGGGGTAATTAAAT